CAGAGGGCGATAAGGGCTCCCCTCAGCCTCCTCTTCTCCAGACTGAACAACCCCAGTTCCCTCAGCCGCTCCTCGTCAGACCTGTGCTCCAGACCCCTCATCAGCTTTGTTGCCCTTCTCTGGACATGTTCCAGCACCTCAATGTCCTTCTTGGAGTGAGAGCCCCAACACTGAACACAGCATTCAAGGGAATACTGACACTTGCATAAATAAAACTTACAGTGAGAATTTCTGCCAAATAATCTACACAAAACTGACGTACATTTGCACATCTCCTTTGAACCACTGTAACAGAAAAACACATGGCATTAAAAACAAACAGCTATCATGATACTGAATTCAGAGCTCTGTGTGTCCACCACAGCAGGGCTCAAGTAAACGTGGTTTTGCTTCAAAGCTGCTGCCATTATCATTTTTGCTTTGGGCACTTAGCAACAGATGGCACATTCCTGGGGAATTTTGCAGGCAAACACACACGCTGTAAGGTACCATTTTGCCTTGTCTGGGAGTGGAGGTTGGGAAGGCAAGGGACTGCAAGGAAATTCACAGTGAACAGATGGAAAAACATGCTCTGAAGTAACAGTGAGTCTCACAAAAAACAGCAAAAGCAGCCTGAAATCTAATCTGAGTTTACAACCATGATAGATAACTTTCCAGGTACAAGGGACAGGATGGAACACTGATCTACCCCATGTGATTGATGGAGCCACTATCTCACTGGCAGTAAAGCTTGCATGCTTTACTGAGGGTTTCTGTGTGGGTGACTGTGAGCAGCTTTACCCTTTGGTCCTCTCAGTGCTAGCAATTAATTGTCTGGTTGATATCCTCACCTCACCCCGATCTCTCCCTCAGAAGGGAAAACTCAGGCTCCCAGTCTATGAAGATTTCAAAAAACATGCATTCCTAGGTTACATAGCAGAAGAAAAAAAAAAAAAAGAAAAATACTGTGCTGGAAGATGTGCACAGGAAAACAGGTATATAGCAGCATAAATGGGGTGAATTATGCCCAGGAATATCAAATCAAACCAGAGGACAAAGTGAGCTACTTGTGTCTTATGTGGGAGAGGAAAAATTGTGCTGTGACAGGGACATGCATAGTGGCAAACAGGTGAAACCAGTAGTAAATCATCTAACTTTCTGAAAATTACAATTTTCTGCCGAACTTTTCTGTGCCTAATAATCTACTCTTGTTTTTGACATAAGACAGATAAAATTTAAATAATAATTTGGTTAAAGGTTGCCCACTGATCCTGACTGGATGGCTCTTGATGCAAGCTATACACTGCTGGTAACACATTCACTTAATGCTTAGAAAGGGCTAATTTCACAGAGAGGGGGGGAAAAGAAGTAAATTCAGATGGGAAAAGTCAGGCAAAAAAAAAAAATGTAAATGAAAGCAATGGGTTTTTTTATTATCCACCGCACATGGCTTGGTCAGAAGTAAACAAATCCCCCAGTGACAGACTAAATGATTCTGTCTGTTCTCTGATTCAGTTTCCCCTTAAAGAGACTCACAATTGGTAGTCCCTTAAATAGTTCCTGTCTCCAGACTGGCTCTTCTCCCCATTCCACCAGATATTAAAGAAAAAAACCTTTTTGCCTTTTCTAATTCTTCCTCCCAAGGTGGATTCCTGTTGCACATGCAGGAAAGCCAAGCTTGCTTGAGCACAAAACCAAAGAGGAAAGCTTCACCGTTCTGCAGCAGCCAGTAGGGCCTACCTTCATTGTAATATGTGCCTCAGTCATTTTGTTTCTATCTGCTCTGAACTAAGCTGTCCCATTCCTTTGCAGCTGCACACCCATTAAAAACTCCTGCCTATTATGTTGTTATTTATTACCTGTTTTCAGTACATGGCACTGCAGTACTCTCACATCATTTTGCAGGAGCTGAGGTGATTTTCTGCATTTCTGAAAGTTCAGCTAATGCCTGGTTTTCAGGTCAAGGTGAGATCCCACTCTTTATGCTGCACCGCAGTCGTAGCTGCCTTCTTGTGATAGATACACCAGGTCAGTAGAGTCCTACCTCTGCTGCAGACTTGCTGAGGAATCAGGCATCAGTTGCTTCATCATGCAGTGAATTTCCAAGTTCAAAAGTATGACTAGTGGGAGCAATGTATTACTATTGTAGCACCAAAACATTGAGTTGTTATTTTATGTCTCATCAAGCATCACCAGAAAGCACTATGAAAATTGAGTTTTTCTCTTATAGCTACTTTCTTTTCTCATTACAAAATTAGCCAAAAAGAAATGTTTGTGGAGAGGCTTTAGGAAATTGAAACAACTCATACTTGAGATAAATCAAAATATTTGAAGCATTTTGTTTCAGTGTTGACTCCTGCCTATAACCAGAGGCCATACATTAAGAACCAGAAAATCTAGACTTTCTGGAACATTTTGATCTTTTCCCAAACTCTAAGTTCAAAACAAAATTGTCCAAATGTCCACTACATTTTGATTCTATTGAAGTGGCATATTAAGATGGAAAAATGATTACGTGAACACTTTTTGTTCATCATCACCAGTAGGCCAGATTATCATTTTAGTTGTACTGGCAAAATTCCCACTGTCTTCATCGTGCTTGCCAAAATACTAATCCTTTGACTTGCTAAGACATGCTGTTGAAGATGCAGAAAACCACCAGAGCACATATTCCTCTTTCTTTGGTGTTTTTGGCTTTGACCCAGTACATGGGAATAAAAGTTGGTTTTAGTATCTTAAATTTAATCTAGTTTAAATGTGGCATTTTTAAGAATCAGTTTTCAGAACAGAAAAATACAGGCCCTGAGGACCAAGGACTGTCCTATAAGAAGAGCTTGTCCAATTCCGATCCTGAATATCAGGCCCTCCCAGATGGTTTAAATCAAGTTTACAGAGGAATTAGAAAGGAGAAAACAAATCACACTGGATTATATTCAAATAAATATTTAAACAAACCCTGAATACAATTTCTACTCAGATAAAATGCTTGGCACTCTTTTGATAACAAAATTACTTTGGGCTGAATCCCTATATAGTTTAAATGAGTTTATTTTACAGGAGTTCCTTTTAACAAACAAGCATAGGTCCTAGGAGTAGTTACTCTAAAAAGTAGGACAGTCAGCTCCACCTAACCCTATTTCTACAAGAACTCACATTGTGTCTACCTGGAAGCTGCCTCCCATTCATGCCATATTTTACTCAGCTTCTTTTACAGATGTACGTGCTACTGCATATAGATTATTGCATTGGCCTTGTATTAGTTTGTGGAAACCACCGAGTTGAATCCCCTTGTTTCCAAGGGGACTTTCTCCATGCTGTCAGCTGGCTAGCCCAAACAACTTCACATAGGTAAACGTAAAACAGCCTTCATGTGGCTCACTGCTGAATCTGAATTTAGTCTAGGCAATTTATAGGGACAGAAGAACAAGGATGTATTTCATTTCACCCACTAGGTTGAGCACATCTTGACAAGAAGTTTTGCATTATCTATAGGACATAGGACAAGAGCAATGGTCCAGTTCAGCCTGAGATAAATTCTGTACCAGAGGAAGTCAGACCCACTTTCATTTCTTCTGACTTTTCCTATCTGACTGAAATGCCGAAGTTAGAAAGTTAAAAGACCTTACACTGGTCTTGCATTAAAGAGCACAGAGAGGCACTTCCAAAGGACAGCATAAGGGACTCTGGTGAATTGAAACACTCTTGGACGTAACTGCTTCTCTCTGGTGATAATAAGAGACCAAAACCAAATCCTTCTCTTAACTGAGGAAACTCAGGGGGGTCATGCCCCAAGAATGCAGTGAGATGAACTTGCACGTTTGCATGAGTAGCTCATAGCTCCTGCAATGAAGTACTACATTGTAAAATCCCATGTAAACAAACTCTTGAAATAATTGCTTTTATTGCTGTGTTATGTTCAAACAACTTTCAAGGAAAAACATCCTCTGGTCAATGCTTTGAGTGCTGTGCCTTCTGTTCCAGGTTTGTCTTTCCCCAGTCCTTAACTGTGTGTTGGATATTCCACCTTTGTCCCGTGCAGGTCCGCATTACAAGTCTGTATGAAACTGGATCATCTGTTGTGATTTCGAGGCATCTTTTAGTGCTCCTGTTGATTACGGCTGATCCCTACAAAAGGAAAGGAAATACGAGAGAAGCCGAGGGTTTATAAATTTAGTTCTTAGTCAGGATGCAAATTTCTTGGCCTCACAAATGTGCCTGAGAAAGACTAGTAGGTCACAGACCCGAAAGAAAAATGTTGCATTTTCCTCAGCCTAATGACGCATGACAGCTTATGGAACTCTCAAAGGCATATTAAAATATATTTAGAGATTTGTGGCTGGTTTTTGGAGTTGGGGGAGAGGGGGAGTGGTATTTGGGTTTTGGGGGGTGTTTGGGGTTTTTTTACAGTTCAAAAAATCATTTTAGTAACTTTTAATACTGCATCCTCTTTTGAAAGAAGAGAGGCAATAACAGGTAAGAGAATATTCATCTCTTACCTCTTAAGTCAATATTTCAGTAACAGCTATTATGAATGGAGTGGGGTGTGGTTAAGTCAACTCACCACGCTGGAAAAGAGGATTTTCATAAGGGGTTGGGCTCCAGAACAAATAGGATCTTACCTAGCTCCTTCAGGCAGCCAGTTTTTCTGCTATGATAATGCTCCATGAACACAAGGAACTGAAGGTCTACTTTTAAGGTAGGTCTAAATTTTCCAGAAACATGCCTGCAACTTCTTCTGAGTTTTGTGGTTACAGACCAGACTAAAGTTAGAGGAAAGCCCACATTAGAGGAATTTCTGCAGACCATGTAGGTCTATATTATTTGGTGCACACCACTGAAACCTTTGTATTTCACCAATTCAACCCTTCTGTTCTCCACCACTCTCTCACAGGGCTTGTTCCTGCTTAGTTGTTCACTGACAGAGGAATACAGGAAGCAGGCCCATACATTACATGTAAAATTAATTATTAATTAAATAAAGCTAATACGGTTTGAACTGCCAGAGAGTGGAGAAGCTGCATGGCTTCCTTTCCCATCTCTCCCTCCATCATTATTGCTGCTGCCTGTTTATCCTGCCCCAGCAGAGGGGCAGTATCTGTCTGAAGACTATCTGACTAAGCTATTATCATCACATTCTGTATTCAGAGGCACTGAATATAGAATATGAAAGTATCACTTGGGATCTTAAGCATGTCAGCATCAGCGGACATAAATCCTGCACAAATAGAGGCAAGCTAACAGTGTGAAGGCACTAATCATCAGCTGTAACCTGAGCTCTGAAAGGATGAACCTAGCTTGATCTCAAACAAGGATTTCCATGCTCAGATGTTGGTACAGAAAATGGTACCAGAGAGCGAGCAGGACAAGGCATCACCCGCTTTTTCCAACAGGTCCCACGAGGAGGGCTGGGAAGACAGATGGTGGACAGTGGAGAGAGCACGGCCAGACCATCAAAAGAAACAGACGCACCTGGGCTCGCACATTCCCTGCCCGTTAGCCCAACTGTGATAACTGAGCTAGTGAGTGTTTTTAGTTGGCCCAGCTAAAAATTAAAAGACTTAAATTGTTAAGTAAAAGGCTTAAACCAGCTGATTCCACCAAGACTGACAGACAGTTGGAGGACAAATAAGTGGCTAGGGTTCAGACAACAAGTGAGAACTGGTTAAATTCTGGTAACTCAGACAACTTCAATTGTGTGACCATCCTCTTGTTTTTAACATCACACCCCCCTGAAGACTCAGTCAGCTTCACCGTAGCTCTTGCAGTGGCACCTGCAAGTCTTGAAATTGAGTCCATGTTATTCAGAAGCAAACTGCTTTGGAAGGAAAGTGTCTAAGATTTCATTATAATGAGAAAGCTTATTGAAATGTGGGGATATAGAAATCCACCTACCTGCTTAAAATCCCAGTGCAAGTTCAGGCCTTTATTCACAGCTGTGTCACATTGCTCTAAAACTGGCAGGTCCCCGTTCCCAGGGTCTGTCAGGCACCTATCAGCTGTAGACCGTCGGGCACGTAGACCTCCTACATACATTTCTCCAGTGCTGTGATAAAAGGTGTGCTGAAGGAGAAGGTGACACGACTGCCAGTGAATTAAGATATCAGGGAAATCTCATCAGCAGATAGTTCCAAAACAGATATTGAGAGGTATCAGCTCTACAGCACCAGCATTCACTGGTCCCTCAGTAATTAAACCAGGATGCATTTGACCCTATATAACATCTCTCTGCTTTCCACTGAAAAAAAGCAAGATGCTTACAATTGAATGGTAACCCTTAGCTTCCCTCCTACTGAGAGGACAGGCAGTGAGGTGCGAGGAAGAGCTCCACCTGTTTCCCATTCATCCCGCTGGTCTTCTGTTAATCAACAAGATCAATCAGTATCAATGTGAGGTCTCACATTTTTTTGGCAAGGCTAAACCAAAAGCCATAGTCTAATGCAGTTAGATCTCCATGGGAACCTGCTCTGCTGCCAGTAGCATTGGGGAGCAGAATTTAATGAAATAAAGGTTAATATTCCCCTTTAGATAGCACAGAGATAATAGTTTTGAAGTGCCTATTTCATTGCCCTGTGGAGGCTTGAAAGGAACACTTAGCAACAGCTCATATGTAAGGATCTGATCAGTTGTTTGCATTACCTGTGATGAATATGCATGACAAGGATACATAATTGGTGTGTTTCCAGGGACAGGGCCATGATCAATACAGGCATCTTCTTTCAATGTGTTTTTCATCTGCAGAATAAAACAGGAAATTTACCGTGAGGAACAGCAATCCTGTTTTCAACTCCTCACTGCAAATTTTTAAAACTGTCCTGAGAGCAAGGCTAGTTTATTCAGAGGTCTTCATCAAATCCTGAAGTGGAAGATACAACATGGGTTTAGAAAAGAAATCTCAGGTTACCTTTGTAGAAATGATTCATCACAGCAAAAGTCAAAAGCAAATCTAAGGTCCTTCAAAGACTCAGTGACATCATGCCATGCAGCACCATGTCAGAAGTTATCAGGCAGCTCCAAACAGGTGAGTACCACTGCCCAGGTCCAGAAAGGTATGCAAGCTTGGATCTAGAAAATGCCTACCTATATAAAGAAGCCACTGAAGCCTTGATGATTAGTTCTCTCTTTCACAAATAGTGGCCTGACTTCCAAAGTATTACATGCTATCTTGATTCATGTCTGCATGCTTTCCAAATTATCCTGCTAATCTCTGGAGAAAAAACCCCACATATTCCATTGAAAAACTCAGGCCCTTACAAGAAGATGTTGATCCATTCTTGTTGGTCATTGTTTTGCATGCAGTAAGAAAAAGAAAATGCATGTTAAGCACTTTCCCAAACTACTGTTGTGCTCCCATCAGTACATAAACAGTTTAGAAATTCTAGACTGACAACTAATAGAACACAATTTTAGAAATGTCAGTGTCTAGAAAACCATATCAATCAGCAAAACAGTGTTCACAACAATTCTTCATAACAGTAGAGCTAAATAATTGTTCCACATTTCAAATAAACAGACTCAATACTTACTGTGCCATAGCCAACAATGTTGGGAAGAAATACTAAATCAGGGTAAATGTTTTTTATGTACCAGTCAAAGCTTTTACAGTTCAGTTTTTTCCTCAGCTCTTTTCTGGAAGAAACATCTCCAAAGTCTACTCCAGAATTCTGCAAGAACGACATATACTTAATTACCACATTAAGGTGGTCTGAGAAACTAAGGAAGAGACAGACTTATTTCTCCATATTGTCTATTCATAACATAAAAAATATATTTAAAAGTTCATTGAAAAAAACCCTACATTTTTTAAACTTCAGAATTTCAGAACATGTTTGTCTAGAGGTGCCAATAAATTACTGAAACACTAGCATGTTATGACTTCATCAATATAAAGAATATCAAAGTTAGATATAACTAAGAAGTAGTTTTTATACTGACAAAAAAAAAATCTATCTCAAAGTGAAAAATAAGACAGAGCTTGTTAACAACCTTAGTTTGATCAATAGTCTGTTGACTGTGACGCTAACCTCATATGGGAGTAATCAAGATTCAAACACTGTTTCCAAGACTATGTAACTTCTTATGCAAAGTGGAACAGCTCCAGCAGGAGAGTTTGACAGAAATCAATCCAACAGGAGCTTGCATCCCATGTTTAAGCAGTTGTGTAAAATGCAGTCTGTCACCTCAATAAGTTAGGTTAGGAATTTCAAGTAGACTCGTACATCCCGGAGAAATGGGGTCATTAAAGATGAACAAGTTTTACTCAAGTTTCATTCAGTGCTAAAACTGATACTTGTGGTTCCGAGCAGTAGCTTAGTTTTTGATGACTAGCATTTTCAGATGAAAAATTCCAAATATTTACAGTAAAAATTAGTGGGGAAGGAAAGCGGATTCTTTTTAAGTTTTAATTTATGATATATCACTATATATTTTAATTTAATTTTTTCATATATATTCACAGAAACACAAGGAGGTGGGAAGCTATTCTTCCTTTGTTAAAGATTCGTAAATCCACTGAAGTGCAGGCTGGGAAACTTCATACAGTTTTTTTATTAAATGAAGCTATCAATACTCAAGAGGTGGTCTTCATACTTCCAGTATCTTCAACAGTTTGTGCTGGAGAAAAGTTAAAACCATATTCAGAAGTACTGAAGAAGAAAAAAAAATGCAATTTAAAGGTCTTAGATTATTATAATTTTTACAGGAAAGTTCTTAATTTCCTGCTATTACCATTTTTCATCCTTACAAGGATGCCCTAAAACTTTCCGCTTTTTCTTGCAGTAAAACCAAAGCAGAACTTTGGGCTGCAGAGAGGAGAGTTCACTTAAAAGTATGTGATGAAGAGTAATTGAATTCTCTATATAAATTTCAATTTTGTTTATTCAAAAGATATTCAGGGATACCCAGATCACTAGAGACATGTTCTTCCATGCAAAATTCTAAATATTCCAGGGAAAGTGTTCCCTGTTTCCCTTCAAAAAATTAAAATACATGTTAAATAATTTCATTTTATATTCCTTAAGCTAGGCACCAGCTCTTGGTCTGAGCCTAAAAGGAACATGTCTATGATCATGACTCTTGGATGCCATCCATACCAGTAATTATTAGCATATCAATATTAATTTTTTTTTTCACAGTGACTCTTATAACCACACTATGCCTCTTTTTTTGTGACCACATGCTCTTATTTGACTACTTCTAGGCTTTGGATTCCAATTGGAAACAGCCACCTCAATTGGAAGATTCCACGCAAAGTAGACCATGTACTTGTATTCATCCATCCACACTTCAGCTACCCGCAAGGCGTTGCGTTTCACTGTGACGGTCAAATCTAGCAAGTAAGGCTTGTGAGCTCGTTCCAAATGACCAATTCTTGAACAGGGCAGCACTTCTACTTTACCTCCACACTGCCAGGCCTACGTCAAAAAGAAAGAATTTGACGTAAAGTTGCCTATTTATTCAAACTCTTTGTACTTTTTTTTAGTGCTCCCATTTCTGATCCCCCCCACTCCTTCACCGGATGAACTGGCAGGCCCTCAACATTCAAAGCCCTATTTCCTCACTTGAGTGAATGAAGCGAATTTTTCAACACCTTTCATTTCTACTGTGTAGCGTGCTATCACAGGTCCAGGAGAGTAAAGGAACGTTCATTCTTCTTTTTCTTTGCCATCACCATTAACAAAACTATTCAGAGATTCCCGTGGCAAGACACTCAGATTGATTGGCATAGAAGCACTAAGGCAAATTGGTACATATCTCCAACTGATCTTACCAGGAGCTAGACTGCTAAATACCATGGTGGTTATGGGCCTGAAATCTTCAGAAGCAGTGGCATTGCCCGGGACATGCCAAGAACAAAACTGGTCATGCAAAATCTTACATGCTAGGGAGAATTCAAGAGAAAGACAAAATCCAGTGGATGCATGGAAAATATCCACAAGGAATTCAAAGAGATACCTAAGCAGGACATAACCAATGCTTCAAAAGTACCAACAGAACACACCAAACCTGACTATACATGAACCAGATTAAGTGTGGAAGCTCTTCAAAAGGTGAGCAGCTATGTAGAACTGAATTCAAGCTGGCAAGTCCACGTGTCACTGCACAATGCAGATTTATTCTACCACTTTAGGGATCACCACACAATGCTCCACTGTGTGCTATAGACTTCCTTCACATTAAATTTTCCAGGGCTGGCAAGCTGGCTAAAGAAAAGCATAAGAGACTGCTTGCTTGCTAACCAAGCATATTTGACACAAGAAACTCTCAGGATGGAAATAAACAGAGACCTTTAATACTATTTTTGCAGTCAATTTTCAGTGCAGCTTTGTGTTTTAACTGAACTGATTGTCCACTGTTTTCACATCCAGCATTTGTGTAAGTGACTACAGACTTATATTGCCTCCACTGCAAATGGTGAAGGGAAATAAAGTGTAAATGTATTTTCAAGGAACAGAACTGAAATACTAATTCACAACCTGCCTCACATGGTGTGAGGTGATGACATGTGACATTTCAATCTCACAGATAGAATCTGAAGCGTGGGGTCTTTGGTCATGTCTCCTATGAGTAACGGAGAAATGCGTCAACATCTCTGATACAGCATCAAACCAAGGTAGTACATCCACGTGACTTGGTGTGATGTCTCATATACAGGGGCTTTGTTTAACAGGATTTAGCATGTTTGGAAGACTGTTGCTGTACTTCCTCTTGATCATCAATTCTACAAATCAAAAAATCTCATTTAGGCCTATCTCTGCTATAATGTCACATATTGCAGGAATTCTATTTGTTCTTTTTCCTTTCCTTCAGAGTCTTCAATCAGTCCACATCTTTCCTGATGTATGGTGCCAGAAATCAAAACACAACTCCAGAAAAGAACTTAGCAGCAGAAGAGAAGGATCATCAATGCCATCTTTTCCCATCCAGCTGCACGGCCATGTTGACCAATACAAAGTCTGTTACTCCCAGTTCTTTTCTAGCTGGATGTTCCCCAACCTGCACCTCTGTAGCTGTATATTCCTCATATTTCTCCTAATTGCACAAAGCATGCTACCCTGTTATAGAAAAAACCCTAGACTTATTTGACAGGAGTCAAAATCCTTAAGAAGTATCAACAAAAGCCTGCTGATAAGCTTTACACACTGTTGGATATCTATCACTTCCCTTTGGTACCCAAAATAAACCAGACTTGTTCTGAAATATTAACCCAAGCTTTGGATAGCAACCAGCAGCCTGAGTGCTTTTGAAAAAATCACAAACTAGTTTTCATTGTCTTTCAAAAAAAGATGAAAAAAATAGGCTTACCCTCACGCCAAGTTCCACATTTTCTCCTCCATATATGTGCATTCCACTGTCCAGTACACCAATCTCACCCAGAAATTTCCTATCTGCAGCAAGAATTCCCATTATGGATGGGCTCCTGGAGAACCAAATGAGTAAAATTAGAAAGAAGCAATGATGATGGAAATAAAGTCAATTAACCATCAATCAAATCTTGAATTTCTGGAAGGATTCCAGTTGCATCCAAGAGAGAATAACAGATTTAATTCAGAAAAACACGTGGATCAACATTAAAGAGTCCAGAAGACAGCAAATAAACTTGATCAATGGTCTAAAAAGCATGATTTAGTATTTTAAAGAATTAGATATATTTTGAGAGGAGATGTGACAACAATTTTCACATATTTAAAACAAGAAAGAAAGAAATCAGATTAAACTGCAGCAAGGAAGAATTAGGTTGGACTTCATGAAATTTTACCTAACACTAAGAAAACTTAAACACTAAAGCCCATTGCCAAGGGAATTGTGAAATCACTGTCAACTGAGGTTTTGAAAGAGAAATGAGATGATTGTCTGGCAGGACCAATTCCACCGTAGATTAATCAGTCCTAGAGGTGGGGGAAAGGGGACTGAAAGGGGATTTGTCGTTCTTTTGGTATCCTCATTGTCTATGATCAAACCTGCTTCTATTTTCTCTGGTCTAAGAATTGTGGACATCCCCCCATGAAACATTCTTTAACCTACATTTGGCTTGCTTTCATTCTGTTCTCCTACCCAAACCATTAACACTCACTATATAATGTTTTTAAACACATACAGATGCCAATTTCACCCATAGTTCTTTATCTAGGTACATGTGAAGTCTTATCTCCAGGTGTAGTAGTATACAAATGAAGAAATCTGCCATCTCATCTGACAGCACAGTATATTATTTTCAAATGTTTTCACGGTGCCTTTCCTCCTCAGGATCTACATAGTAAATTTTAAAGCCCTTTATATAAGTAAGGATGGTGGATTAACCTTGGCTGGCTGCCACCAAGTGCCCACAAAGCCACTCACTATCTTCCCCTGTCTTGCTGAGAAGGTGGAACGAGAAAGATGAAAAAAGCACATGGGTTGCGATAAGGATAGGGAAGTTGCCAGTTACCATCACCAGCAAAACAGACTGGGGAATATTAATTTATTTCCAATTAAAATTTAATTAATTTAATTTATTGCGAATTAAAAATAAAGGAGGACAGTGAGAGAAACAAAACCAAAACTAAACCACCTTCCCTCCATTCCCCTTCTTTCCAGGTTCAACTTCACTCCTAACTCTTCTACCTCCTCCCCCTGCCCTGAGCAGGGCTTTAGGATGGAAAATGGGGGTTCTAGTCAGTTGATAACACTTCATCTCTGCCACTCTTTTCTCCTCCCCTGCTCCAGCATGGGGTCCTCACAGGTGCTGCAGTTCTGCAAGAACTGCTACAGAATGGGTCCTTTTCACAGGGTACAGTTCTCCAGGACAAGACTGATCCAGTGTGGGTCCCATGCAGGCTGCAGTTCTTGCCAGAAAACATGCTCCTGCCTGAGCATTTCTCCATGAGCTACAGCCTGCTCCAGCATAGGCTCTTCACAGGTTGTATCTTCTTCCAGGGCATATCCACCTGGCTCTGGTGTGGGGTCCTCCATGGGCTGTGGTGTGGATATCTGCTCCAGCGTGGTTTTCAACGGGCTGCCATGTGGATATCTGCTCTGGCATGGTCCTCCACAGGCTGTTGTGTGGACATCTGGCTGGCATGGTCCTCCACACACTACAGGGAGACAGCCTGCTTCACCATGGTCTTTTCTGGGAAATCAGGCTGCAGGGAAATCTCTGTTCTGGTGCCTGGAGCACCTCCTCCCCCTTGTTCTTCACTGACCTCAGTGTCTGCAGGGCTGTTCCTCTCGTATTTCTTCCTCACTCCTCTCACTCACAGATGCTGCACAGCATTTTTTACCCTGTCTTAAATACGTTATTGCAGAGGCACCACGAGTGTGGCTGACTGGCTCAGCTTTGGCCAGCACCACGTCCATTTTGGAGCCAGCTGGAACTGGGTCTGTCCAACACGGAGGCAGTCCCTCACCTCTTCTCACAGAAGCTACGACAGCAGCTTCCCCCACTACCAAAACCTTGCCATGAAAACCCAATAAAATAAGACAGGACAAGAAAAACCTGATGACTATATCTTATCTCTTATTATGTTTTTCAACATTGTTTGATGGTTGTTAATTGCTAAGGCTCAGTCAACAACATCTGACATCCTTGTAGAACAATGAAATAAATGGGTTTATATATTCAGCCTGAGATGGCTGCTGGCATCGTAGTACCAGCAACCATCTTGTGTTGAATAAATAAACTAATCTGAATAATTAAGGAAGGTATCAGGACCGGAAGCAAATATATTGGATTCTAAGGTTAGCTGTAAGGGGTCACTTTAGGTATAACAGCTGTGTGTGTATTGTGTTCATGTCTTTTTCTTGCTTTTGTGCAACACACAAATGATAAGGGTTGAAAAAGGCTGCCCAAGATCACTGTAATCATGTTACTCCAACATCTCCAAGGAACGAATGTCACAGTTTGAATCCATGCAAATCCTCACAGCTCAGACATGCAATCGTCCAGAAAAGGTGTGAGATTCACTCCATGTTGTTGGACAAGCATGGAGAGGGGCTACGGTTCATCATGTGCAGTCAATAAGTATTGCTACCATACTTCTCGCTAAGGAACATAAGACAGAAAAACCAATGACCTGGGGATTGCCTGAAAATCTGACAGCAGGATCATCACAGGGCAGATTCTGTAATACAACTCTGCAACTGTAGTACTGAGATTTTCAGGGCTGATAAATAATCCTTTGTAGGTATCTATCCCACCACCTATCTTCTTCTTCTTCCCTCTGCTAGCTCTATGTTGGATATCATGTATTTTGGCTCACTCACAAATGCTGTTCAAACTTACCGGACTGGAGCTGTTTCATCCTTCAGAGCATACCAATCAGCTGGCAAAGATTCATAAAGGCACCAGAGTGCCCAGTCAAATCCATCTGCAGCCACTGAATACTGAAGAATCTCAAAGTCATCAAAACGAATATTGTCAAATACTGGTGATATTATAACAGTGCGATCTTCTTTTAGTCGAGACAAAATAGGCTCAGCCCTACCAAAATTAACAGAGTCTATTCAGCTTGAAAAAGTGGAAAGCTAATGAACAGTACTAAATTTTACCACCTGTTTCTAAAACTGGGTTAGCTACTTTATTTAAGTCACTGACTTTGGCCTCTACAAAAAGTTGTATGCCAGTCTTAGAGTGCTAGTAACCCAAATTGCTAATGCCATGCCTCAATTTTCCCTTCTGTTAGGCTGCTTCTGCATTTTGACTGTCACTAATCAAACTAACCATAAGTTCCATGCCTAACTTGTTGGGTTTATTGCTACCTGGGTTTGCTTCCTACAGGTTCTAGAGTTTTCAGTATCTGCATGATGAGACGAGAAGGGAAAAGGAAAGGAAGGAGATGCTGAGGGGTGCTGTAAGCCCTAAGGTTGATCATTCACTGTCTTTCCCCTATGCCTTCATGGCACAGCTGCTGTATGAGGGAAATGGTGTGACCGATCAATGAATCCCTACAATGGAAGAAGGCTCAGAGAAGACAGGCAAGGATGATGTGCTCATAAAGCTCAGAGAATAATGTAGGGAGTGACCACAGCTATCGTAAAGGAAGCTGAACTTATCCCAACACCAAGGTCACTGTAGAGTGGCCTTTGTTGCAGATATACAGCAGTATCAGTTGCATGGGTCAGCTGGTTATGTACATGGCTTCCTAAAATCATCCATAGAAAATATTATCTTCCTGAGCCAGGCAGACCAACATGGGGGAACTGCATATGTAGCTCAGCCCAACATAGAATATAAAAATTGAACATCCAGAAAAATGAACTTTGAAGAGAGCAACATGCTTGAGTTGGCTTCAATCCACATATTCCTTCCAGCAACTAGGGACATCCAGCATCTTGACGGTGAGCATATAGACAGCAGTAACATGAATCCCATTCGTATGGTGATTCAACTGTATATTGCAATTGCTATATTGTGCTTGTGTTGTGATTTCAGTATATCGCTGTATCACTTTTCTAAACCAAACCCCCATGTATCTTCGAATAAGTAAATTTAATGTTAAAACATTAAACCCTCCTCATGTGGAATATCTAAAAGAACCTGGTCAGAGAGTATTGGATTCTGAAAGAGGGAGTGGTTTTACTGGACACCAGTTGTCATTAGGTCTAAAAGAACTGACCTTATCTCTCCCTACATACTCTTCATAGCCCAGTGTATCCCAATGAGTCCTGAAAGCCATGACAAAAGGACTTCAGCATTACCTTTAAGACTGCTAGGGAGTGTCAGTTAGTGTGTTGTCAAGAGAGAGATCTGGACCACACAGAGCCATTTTGGCCTGAGAAGGGCTGGGGGAAGATCCTTGCTCCCAGAAAGTGGGACAACAAGTGAGAATGTAAAGAGATTTCACACAGAACAGTACCATAGACATCACTACCTAACAGAATGTAAATATCCATCATCAGCCACTTGTTTTGCCTCTCTTTGCAAAAACAGTCCTACAGAACTATGATGCACTATTAAGCTAACAGGCAACAGCAAATAAACATTAGCCAAAGTTGGAATAAGTATCGAACCAATTTAAAGTCACTGGGTATTATGGCTGTCTAATATACTTATAAAGGGCCAAAGTTGCTGGCCGTGGAACTAAACAACCTGCATCATTCTTATGTTATTTCACTGCATGAAGTCTTTTTTCCTAGAAATATAATAAATACAAAGAGAAGGTAGGCATTTCTCTCTTCCTCTTCATTAAACAGCTTACTCTGTTACCTGTCTGCTTTTCTATTTATTTCAAACAATTGTATCCCTTTTCCTCTCAGAAATAAGCTACTTGGTGGCTGTTAATTAGCATGTGGCAGGCCAGAAAGGAGAACCACATATGGGATCCCTGTCCCCACTACACAGTTATATTCCTTGTCTACCTCTCTCTCCCCACTTCAGAAACCCCACAGCCTTCATAGTCTTACCATGCCACGTTCACTTCAATATGGGCATCCAAAATTGCAACAACATCTGCAGTTGATGCCTCCCAGCCAGAAATCCGGGCTTGTGTTAAGCCTTGTCTTTTCTGATGTCTGATGATCTTTAGCTTTCCAGGATGCTTTGCATTGTAATTTTTGATGTGTGCTTCCAAAGTTCCTTTCAGATCATCTAAAACCAGCCCATACATTTTAATGAATAAAAAAAAAAAAAAAAAAAAAAAGTAAGTCAATATTAAGAAATGGGAAAGATTATGTAGGTAATGGCTTTCTAGAGCTTCTCCTAGTTCCAGACCAAAACCTGAATTGTTCTTTGCAATAAAACAGCTCGAATTATTCAGGCACTCATTAATTCAAGAGGCTTTTTTTTAAAACCAACTTCCATTTCAGGAGTTCAATTAAGTACCTAAATTTCATTTACATATAGTACTATTGTATGGCTTCTAAATTGTAGACAAATACATCTGTATGTAGAAACTTTAGATGTGTGCCATAACAGCAACCAATTAGCTGTCTTAGTGCAGTGATTTCTGTGTGGAAAAACTTTTAGCATGTGGAAAAGAAAAGAGAAAATGAACAAGCCTTGAAAACATGAAATGCTCCTGTAAGAGCTGTAGGCATGCCAATTCCCTCAAAAAAAAAATAGTGTCAGAGAAAAGGAAAAGAAAGTTGGGTCCTTTTAGCATCATTTTGGAAATGCACTTAAACTCTTGCTCTACCCAGTCATACATGTTTTTCTAGCAGCTACAAAGCCTTAGAAACATGAGACATCAAACACATCTCATCAGGCAAGGAAGAAAAAAAAGAGCACCCTTAAGATCAAGGGCATGACTGTTTCTTACAGATGATTTTACAAGGCTTTGCTCAGCTCAATTTTAACCACAATGATGCACCCATTGCTTCCCCTAGGAGTATTTTCCACAACTCAAGACACCACTCTTGAAGGAGTTATTTCAGATACCTACAGAGATAGTTTTCCACTGTGCCCAATGAGCCAGTGACAATAAACACTCTCCCACTTCAATTTTTAACCTTTCCAAATACTTGCAGAACATCATCCTATTCCTTATTAGCCACCTTTTTTCAGGCTATTAAGGAGTTTGGGTTTTTTTCCTGCACTCAATTTACTTCTTAATTTTGAGTGGTCTACTCTGTGTGCACCCAAAAGGCCACCAATAGTCATTTAACACAACAGCGGCATAAATTAGCAAGAATCCTGCCTTCCCTGGGTCACTTACCATTTGAACTGTAGTCGTCTACCAGGATAATTTCTTTCAATAAATGAGAAGGTGTTCGGTTAATTATGCTAGTAATTGCACGTAAGATGACTGACAGTGCTTCATTCATAAATATAAGTATAACACTGAGTGTTGGAAGGTCTTTCGGATATGTTTTTATTTTACAGCTGTAATAGAAGAACAACAACTTTAGCACAGTTTCTAAAGAAAGTCAGAGAGCAAGGCAGCTTCAGAAAGGCAGAACTAGGATACTGGGCTTAAAACATATAGCAAAAATCAGCATAAGAGTGAAAAAAAGGAATTCCCAAATCCAAGTTTCATTATTCATTTGAGTTGCGTTATATATGTATAAACCATTTGGGTAAAGTTAAAATGTCTGTTAAGGCAATAAGAAAGAACAATTACTGTTTCTCAATTAAAAATGCTTATAAAATATTGAAACTAAATAATACAGCCAGAGATTATTATCTTACAAGGCAGTGGACATGTGAGTGAAATTTGGCTTTTTCATTTACAGAAGGAGATGACAATAGCCAAACCTGACAGCAGACAAAAGCAACTTAGACAATAATCCCTTCATATGTGCAGTGAAGAACAAGGTAGGTCTAGCTATACTGAACTGACATGGGAGAAGGATTCTCTTGGACAAGGGGTGTCTCTAGAAATTCTTGAGAGAGCTTTGAAAATCCTTCTTACAGAGTAAACCAGGCCTTATGGAACTCCATGATACCCCAGAATAAATTGTTTCCTGTACTGGAACAAACTTGTTTTGTGCTAGCTTGAATACTTCTGGACTTCCTGCTGTCTGACAAAAGATTTTTGAATTTTTTTTTTAAGTATATGTTCGACACATTTGTCAGCTGTGCTGATTAACATCCTGGCCACTGGGCAGATGGTACGGACTGGGTCTTCTTCATAGTGTTAAGCACTAACTCCCTCTAGAGCAGGCAAGACAGCATAGCTGGATTCTCGGGCTGATGCATTCCCTCCCCTTAGAGACACGCTCTTGAAAGCAATACTCAGACTGCAGGAGTTGTGTGGCTACATAACGCAGCTCTCTGACACCCAGGATCATGCTCCATGTAGACCTCTACAGTGGCAACTGTGCATGAATGAATTGCATTTTTGCTGGAATTTCTCCATTAGCTTTACTATCCATTAATGCAAGAGCCCAGGTGGGTGTCTGCAAAAGGTGGTCTCTGCAAATACATCTTTACAGCAAAGCAGAGGAGTACCAGGCACTGCAGCCATTCTGTGGGACCATGCAGACCATGCACTTGCTCTGGCCACGCCTGCGGTGGCTGCTCCAGAAAGTTCTCCCCCAGCAGAGTGGGGATTGTTCAGCTCAGGGCTGCCTCGGGAGGATCTGTGGCTGGCTCACCACCTTGTGCCCTCACACTACTCCACACGCTCTGCCTGAGTGCCCCAAGATATGCCGCATGGAAAGCTCCATGAAACTCACTCTGGAAGCTACTGCACATCCCTCACGCTACTTCAGACACCATGAACTGAGAAACACGTGAAAACTGTCATTATGTGCCAGAGTCAAGGCCTGACCCAAGACCCAGAGGACACCCACAGTCAGGGGCAACATATTACTGACCGCCCTAGATGGAACCAGTTCCATCCAAGCACTACAGTGAAGACCCAGCTGCATAACCTGCTCTTTACACCTTCCAGAGCGTTGCCAGTAAGACAACTCCCCTTTTCTCAAGTGCGATGTTGTTGATTCACACACAGTTTGGAATCCACTCTGCCCCCCACAACTCTTTTCTGAAATGCTCCACTGGATTTAGCACAAGTGACCGCGGGTACAAAGGTGTAGGCTGTGACATTCTTCCATGTTTACACCAGGTAATACCTGTAAAAGTTACTATTGTATTTTGCAATAAAATGTGTATCTTATCATGCTATACAGAAAAACATGTGTTTGCTTTTTCAACAGATACTTTTTCCTAATGAGGATTTTAATGGTTACTTCTGCCAGCTCCCATAATACCACTGTTCTGCTTAAGAAACATTATCTGTTGGTTTCAAGAACCAACAAATTCCTGGAAAAATCCCTGAAGCTTCCTCTTATGAAGTGGACTGCTTACCTACATCTTAATTCTTTAGATGTTTACCCCACTACATTTTCCACATTAGTCCACAGACCCTTTGGTAACTTGAGAGGGAAACAGAGAGATAAAATAAGTCTGTAAGGAAACTCACAAGGTCACCAGTCCATTATGGCTAGGCCTACAACACTAAAGGTAAGAGCGCCAGGGATTCAGCTCAAGTGCTGAATCTTCCCTCACTCTTCATGGGACTCACTGGCCAATAATTAGTTCCAGCCACCTCCCCCGTTTGATTTCTAATCATCTTTTAATAAGCAGTATACTTATTCCCCACTTATGGTCCGCAACATAGCTAAGAAAAACAAGCATTTTGTTAAAAGGACAAAATTTTACAACATAGGGGAAAGAGGGGGCTGGGGGACTTAAAAAACACCACTTTGGATATCTAAGCATATAAGAGGCTTACATAAGACAACATAAGAGACAAGACAAAGAACACTTCAGATGACCTGGGCTTTGGGGCTTAAATAGAATGTAAACAGACCAGAAGGTCTCATATCTTCTGAATGCTATGGTTATTTTTTCCCCTTTTTACTGACAGTTAGAAGTCCTATATCAATTATAATGTTAACATTATATTCTTCTTCCTAAGAGTCTTCTCTAAACTGTGACTTCTTTTCACAGTCTTTGGAGCATGTTACAAGTCTGGGCAAGACATGGAAAAAAATGGTAGGCAAAACCCCTAAACAAACAGAGCACAAATTGAGATCTATGAGTAGATTAGCCCAAAGCAATGTGGATCCCTTTCCCTTTAATTTCATGTCTCCTTGTGAATGTAGAGAGGGCTTATACTGCACCTGGGAGATCTGGTGTCTCTGATAGGTCGATCCAGAGGTAGAAGATCACTGAAATAAACATTATACCCATAATTTAAGAACAGATTCTGTGCAATAACTTGCTCTTCTTCCCTTAAATCTGCACCCCAGCGTTTGAACAAAGCTGAGTCCGGGTACAGCAAATGGTGTTCAATCTCCTTTTCCTCCTTTGCGTTATCAGCTTTGTGTACTTCAGTCTTGGAGTTAACTTGCAGCTTCAAGTCATGTTCTATTTGTTTTATATTTTCATGGAATGCTTCCACTGATTTTGCTGATTGAAAATAAAAAATATTGTTTATAACAGCAATTGAGAACATTCTCCATCATCATAACTGAGCCAAATTCTCCTTATAACACGGCAGGTGAAGAGATCCATGAAGTTACCGCTAAACTGATGTTCACATGACAGTAACATCAGATCCTCCCTCCTACATGAAAACAGTTTTTAAACACCGTATTTCACAATACCCTGCATCAGATACTGCTCTCAATTGCATGGGTGCAGAGCAAGTGGAGAAAACAGGGAGTAGGGGCAACACACAAATTGTTAAATTGGGCACAAATCATTTCCATGATGTTATGCTTGAGTTACATTAATGTATTAAGGACCCACAATGGGATTCCCATCTAAGTCAGGTTATTGATACCATATTGATCTTGGAGGTAAATATAGTAAATGAGCCCTTTGCCATCTCCTTTAATAAGCTTACTGGAATCTTTTGACTTCTGCTTAGAAAGATTTAAACAGGGTGAACCCTAACCTCTCAAGGTTTTATTAGGTTCACAATACTGTGCAATAAAGAAAAAGCACAGAAAGCCTGTGTGGGGTTGTTTAGGAGATACTGTTCTTGAAGGTAAATACAATCATTGAGCCCTTTGAAGCATCTTTTGAAAAGCTTATTCAGTTTTGACTTTTCTTATCAGAAAGCTTTGAAGAAGGTGAATCCTAATATCTCAAGGTCTTGTTAAGCTTACAAGGAGCTGTCTAATATGCAAAAAGCTACCATGATAACCATGAAAGATTTCATTGTTTTCTGTGTAAGTAGAGAAGCTATCAAATCTTTTTCATGATTACAAGAACAAAAAGAAAACCAAAACAATCAAAAGTGTGCAGGGAAACCCAAACAAACATTATTGCTGCTATCTATTATTCTATTCTTCAGGAAATGTAGATATCTAATCCTCAAAAAATTAAGCAGCGTGGCATTTTACTTACAGAGGTTCTGAATGTTCCAGTCCAAATGGTCCAGTCTCTGGAGGATGTTATTTTGTTGGTCCAGAGACCGATGATTAACGTCCAAGGAACCAAGCTTTCCCTTTCTTTGTTCTTGCAGTAAGTGCACCAGGTAACACACAACACCTACGTTCACAATTAACAGTGCAACTTTATGTGGTCTCTTCCAGGGTGCCATTGTAAGCTTGAAGCAACTCAGCATTCTGCTGCTATTTGGAGTTTGTCTGTGGTTCTGGGTCTGCACCGAGTCTTCTTTCCAAAGGCACTGTTTCAAATTGCCTCTACTTGACTGAGAACTAAGATTGCTAGACAAAGTAATTATCAGAGTCTGATGAGTCATAGAACTGATGATGATAAGGTGCAGCTTACAGGTGTTTTCACTTGCGTGCTGATACATGGCTGTACAAGGTTATCGATATCAAGGAAAACATGCAGCTCTCACTGGCTTGTGTAACGTGTCACGTGAATGGAGCGAACGCCTGGGGTGATGCTGTGGGAAGCACAGGGCTGTTGGGTAGATGTCAGAAAGCTTGTCATGCAGCAAAGCACATGTACACACAAAGACAGTTGGAATAAACTGCAAGCCAATTCTATGTTTCCTGGCCATTAGCAGCTGGGGAATTGTGTATCAGATTAAACAAAAATGTGAAAATACATTGGAATGCATTTTCCATCAGGTTTTGAACTGGCTGGAAGCAATTATGACTAGGATAGGACACTTCACAGCCCTCTCCCACACAGGCCATTCCTGCAGCTCACCACTACCAAACCCCTGCCAGTCATCCCTTCTACACACATGTGAATTTGAAGTAGCACTCCACTAGTGTATGGAGCTTCCTTTCCACAAAAATACCAAGCTGCTTCTTGCTTACTAGCATTCCTGTCCCAGTGTGGGTCATCTGCTGGCCACAGTCCCTCAGGGCTGTCCCTGCCTGGCACGTGTCCCCCATGGGCCACAGTCCCTTCAGAAGTGTCTCCTTCAATGAGTGCGCCTGCAGCCTCCCCAGCAGCCCCCTCTGGGTGTCTCCTGCCTTAAGGGCTGGCACATTTTCTTATGTATATCACTTCATTGCTTCTTGTAGCAGGGCAGCCCTGCAGCCCCTGCTATAGAAACCCTAGGAGTTACGCCAGGTACATACTCCTGTAAACGTTACTTTAAATTCCCATCAGTAGTGCATAATCTTTTTTTTAAGGAAAAATTGTATCTATAAAAATTATATCTATAGACTGTGTACACGGTCCTATTTATCTGCCTTTCCCCTAAAAAGTCCCGATCATGTTGGCCAAAGACAGCAGGCAACTTCACAGAGAAGAGACCCTGCCATTTACCCACCTGCAGAAAGACTACATCGTAAGTTTAAGCCTTACACACCAGTTAATTCAATGGCAGAGAGACATGACAAACACCATAACAGGGCCAAAATGAAGCATTGATGCCCTGTTAGACAGCTGAGAAACCACACAAGATGCAAATCCAGAATAAACCAGATTTATTCAGGTGAAGATCCTTCAGCTGCTCACTGAAGCTCCTGTTTACAAAACACCCATTCTGTAACTCTCATGGCCAGTTTTTTTATATACCAAAGAGGCAAAAAACGGACTTACCACATGCACTGCCGGCTGAAGGGATGCAGGAGCTCCAGGAATATCTTGCAAACACAGAAGGTGAAGTTTCACAGAGCTCCCAATGCTGTATTGCTAGAGAGCCAATCTGACTCCTCTCCACACACCTGACTCCTTACCACCAAGTAGGGCTTCTTTAAATAGCTTGTAGTCACTGTCCTGGTTTCAGCTGGGAGAGAGTTAATTTTCTTCCTAGTAGCTGGCATGCTGCTGTGTTTTGGATTTAGTATGAAGATAATGTTGATAACTCCCTGATGTTTTTAGTTGTCGCTAAGTAGTGCTTACACTAAGTCAAGGACTTTTCAGCTTCCCCTGTTCTGCCAGGTGCACAAGAAGCTGGGAGGGGGCACAGCCAGGACAGCTGGTCCAAACTGGCTAAAGCCATATTCCATACCATATGACGTCATGCTCAGCATATAAAGCCAGGGGAAGAAGGAGGAAGGGAGAGACGTTTGGAGTTAGAGTTTGTCTCCCTAAGTCACCATTACGCATGATGGAGCCCTGCTTTCCTGGAGATGGCTGAACACCTGCCTGCCCATGGGAAGTAGGGAATGAATTCCTTGGTTTGCTTTGCTTGCGTGCGCAGCTTTTGCTTTACCTATTAACCTGTCTTTATCTCAACCCATGAGTGTTCTCTTTTTTCCGATTCCCTCCCCTGTCCCACTGGGGAGGAGTGAGTATGGTGCTTGGTTGCAGCTGGCATTAAACCAGGACAGTCACCTTTGCTCTCAACCTTCCCTAGAGCCACAACTGACCACACCTGAAAGTCTCCTCAGCTGCAGACGGTTGGACAAATCAAATGTATCCCCAAATCATGGGATACAACCACATCAGTAAATAAAACTTTGTCAAGGCACAGGGTCATTCAGTTCCCAATTATTTCCAATGCTGTAATTGCTCATGTGTTCCTGCCTGCACCATCTAGGACTTTCCCAGAAAACACCTGCCACAATTTGCAGACTTACCAGAGACTTTTCCCCATGGGAGTAACTCGAGCCGGGTGTTTCCTGGTTGGCGTGCAGGAGAGAGGAGCTAGGTGTGCCAACAATAGCCATGTCTTTCCACTTACTTCGAAGGGTTGAGAACAATCCCTCAGCTCATCTTGCATGATAACACAGATATAACTCTGGATGCAAAACACTGCACCTCCTTCTGTTCAGTAATGCTGGCCAAGCCAGAAAAATCAGATGCCCCACAGTTCATCAACCATACAACGGAATCATGGAAAAAATATGCATGGGAATATTTTGGTTTGATTAGGTTATTTACAGGTCCAAGAATACACAGCTTAGCCATGCCAATAGGTTGTTTGATTCACACATGATAAAAAGCTGACCTTCAAATGGAAAGCAATCATGGTAATTAATCTGATTTTTTTTCCTGATGCATAAAAGAAAGTATGTTTATCTGTGCTAAGATACTCCTGCTTCTTTTAGACTTTCTGAACTTTCTTTGGGTTTTTGGGTTTTTTTGGGGGGGTGGAGGGAGAGGGGGGAGCAGGGAAGCAGAAACAAAAAGATGAATCCCAGCATCACATTAGGTTGGTTGCTGAAAAAAATAAAAAAAAAAAATTGATTTTTACATTTTTCGTGAACACTTACAAAGAGAAGACAAAAGTAGTTTCACAAAACATACAGATTATGCTTTTGTCAAAATTTTATGGAAATCCAGTGAAGGGAAAAATAAAGGACCTCAGGACAGACACAGGGCTAGAAAAAAATGACAGAATGAGATTCATCCTGGGAGAGAAAAAAATAAGCTAGCAAGAACATAGCAGATTGTATTGTGAAGTCCAATGAGCAATATAACAGGAAATGAACTGCCATCAAATTAATTACAATGCTATGAATAAAAGGTAGGGCAGTTCAGGATTTGCATGCCACCACACACAACAAGGTAAGTCTGTTTGCTGTAAACTCTGCTCAGATCACGGCTGAAATATTATGCTGGTCTTATTGCACAGCCCATTTTAGAGCCATAAAAAAAAAGACAGAACCAGAGGAAGCAAAGAGCACCTTGTATTGTACATGTTGTAGTTAAACCACAGCAAGTACTGTACTGTGCACTGTAAATGCATGGGAATACCTTGATTAATAGTACAAGTGTAGTACAATGGTATTTAAATATTGTATATTTTAAAATATTTGTTTTTAGAATTCTCAAGATTTGGTTAAAAGTACCAACAAAATACTTTTTGGTAATAGGAATGTTTTCTACATGGTTTGGGTATACTGGAGTGGACAGGAGAGAGGAGAGAAGCATGCTTACAAGGGCTGTACTATTCAACTCACTTTCAGGATCAAAGAATGATCCTTTACAGGTCTTGTATCACAGCACAGATACTGCTGTGATACACTGAAGAAGGGAGGGAGGGAAAAAGATTTCTAAGATGCAGAATTTCTGGGGGTTGCTGGTAAGCGCACTCAGCACCCTCCACAGCCAACAAGGAAGCACTGAGCAAGAGTCCCATACTAGCTTAAGTCGGTGGCATTTTTGCCAAAATCAAGAATTCTTACCCTCCGTGGTAGAAACTTGGCACCACCCAGGGCAGGCTCCTAGGGCCACCAGTGGTCTTCCAGTATGAGGAAGGCCTGTGCATTGGAACTGGAGTATAAAGAAATGGTCTGCGCCCAAGATTTTGTTAACCTCCTGATTTTGTATCCTGGGCTGCATAAAAAGTGTGGCCAGCAGGTCAAGGGAGGTGGTTCTCCCCCTCTGCTCTCTTGACACCCCACGTGGAGCACCATGTCCAGCGCTGGGGTCCCCAGCACAAAGAAAGACATGGACCTGTTATAGCAGGTCCCAAGGAGGGCAATGAAAATGATCAGAGGGATGGAGCATCTCTCCTGTAAGGAAAGCCTGGGAGAGTGGGGTTGTTCAAACTGGAGAAGAGAAGGCTCTGGGAAGACCTTATTACAGCATTTCAATACTTAAAGGGGGCTGGATAAGAAAGATGGAGAAAGACTTTTTGCCAGGGCCTGTAGTGACAGGACAAGGGACAACAGTTTTAAACTTAAGAAGATAGGTTTAGCTCAGACATAAGGAAAAAAAAAAGTTACAGTGAAGTTGTGGATGCCCCATCATTGGAAGTGTTCAAGGCCAGTCTGGCTGGGGCGTTGTGCAACCTGATCTAGTGAAAGATGACCCTTGCCCATGGCAGGGGGGTTGGACTAGGTGATCTTCAAAGGTCCCTTCCAATCCAAACCACTCTATGATTTCTCTTTTTTTTTTTTTTTTCTTTTTTGCCTCTACATAGAGGAAAAAGTAGTGGCATGAGAAGATTAACAGAGTACAAATACAGCCATGATAAACCTTGCCCCAGAAAATTACATCTTATTTTCCTAACTGTTCTACAAAAGCCATTATTTTATCTCCTTCCTTTTTCCTTGCAAGTCATACTTTTTGTACTACAACAGGAAAGCTGGAAAGCTGAAGTATTAAAATACACCTATCATAAATACTTTCCTTCGAAGTTTTAGGCTTTGCATGCATATATATAGATAATGCCTTTTTAAGGAGTTTAATCAGCCCAGAGGATAAATATTGGCCAATAAAGTTATGGAATAATTGGAAAACCTAGGAAAGGATTTGCTAAGCAGTAGCTGTGACTGCTGGCCAACTTCTCACCCAGACTGTGGCAATACAGAGGGTAAACCAGTGCACACGCATTGCTGTATTTGTTTCTCAAACTGGGTACTCTATGCCCTGCTCCAAATCACAATCCCAACAACAAAATCCCTGGGATCTGGATGAGATTCCCTAGTGACAATGAGAAAGATGATTTGCATTTTCTAGTTTTTAGCTCCCCCTCCTCAAAAAAAAAAAAAAAAAACCCAACCAAAACCAACCACAATCAAATAAGCTTTGCCCATTAACATTAAACCACTCTCCAAAATCTTGGAAGTGGGTCAGATGTGATTTATTGTTGCTGATTTATATACAGTCCAAAATACAAATGTGTGTCAAAACAGGCCTAAGAAAGCACAACGGAAAGCAAAAGTTGAGATTCACAGGAATCCAGAACTAGCTTCACTCAGAATTCAGAATTTTCTCCAGAAGTTCTCATTTGTTTATTACAAAAATTTTTATGCTACCACCTTTGTAAGATTTTTCAGGAAAGAATGGTGGTTAGGGTGAGTGAGTCCCAGGCTGTAACTAGTCATTCAAGGGACAGAAAGAAGCCATAGCAACACAATGTCACAATTCTCAGCTCTGCTACCAGCTTTCCTTTGCCATTTCATCAGTGTCCTTCACCTTCTGCCTCCATACCTCAAAGAGGCTGCAGTAAGCCTATCATGAACTACTTGTGAGTTCTTGCAACACTTTGAATTCCTTTAAATACAACAGTTCTCTGATCTCCTAATTTCATATAATGTGTATCCACACGTGCCACTTAGGGCAGGGGGAAAGGAGGAAGAGAAAACAGCAGGGAGAGAGAGGTAACTGCAGAATAATTACTGGCAGTGTGAATGCTCTTCTCAATCTTTAACCACCTGCCCTCTAAGCGACTGAAGAAAGCTGTAAGGCTTTCCAAGCGAGTCAAGGAAGAAAAATTAAGACGAATAAAGCAGCAGACAGACAGGAAAGCTTAATTCTATGCAAGTCACCTGTTCCAACTTGGAGCAATACACTATGAACAGCATAATTTAAGAGTTACCATATTTTCAGCATAAATATGCACATAATTAGCAGTAAGTCCAAACCAAAACTGCTTAGGATACATGGTCTTTGAAGGAACGTAAGATCCAAATCCTTCTCTCCCCCCTTAGATGCAGATGCTATTCCCACCCACACAAGCTGTTCCTAAAATGCAAGTATCCTCCAGTCCTACTTGCATGGGGATCTCAAAGAGCAAAGTGGGTTAAGTTTTCTGCTTTTGCTATCTCCTTCTCCTTCCTCCATACCTACCTCCTTTCGTACTGAAAAATTACCCAAGTGGTTACTTTCCCAACAAAGTGTAAAGGCTACCAGTATTTTCCACACGAACTCAAAATATAGGGGCGCTCTAGTTTACATGAAGACGACCGCTACTGTTAGCACAATCTGTTATGATATTCTCCTACTCCCTACAATTTCTCTTCACATCAGCCAAAATATTCTGGTGCCCCAAGGCAGCATACAAACCAAGTTAACTACATTGAGCAGAAGCGTTGCTTTT